GCTCAGCATGGCGGCTGGTGGAGTTGTGGCTGCAGCAATTGTTGGTGCCGTGATTGGTGTTTCCAATTTCGATCCAGTCAAACGAAGCTAAGAAAATTCTGAGCCCCACGGGGATTTCTAGCCTTTCTCTCATCACCATATGTATCTGTATTGTTCTTGACTATTGAACTCTCTTGTGTGTAATATCTGACTCTCTCCTCTTGAGCAGAAGCTTTCCAATTCTTACAATGTAATTTCATTTTGGCGTATCAACGAAACATATTGCTTGCATGTTTCTGCTACATAGGAACGAAGTTTTGAAAGTATACGCAAGATGGATAACTTTTTGATGTTTTGACTGCATAGGAACGATGTTTAAAAGTACATGTAAGCAAGATAGATAACTTTTTCTTTTTTTATATAATCCTACTAAAAGGACGCTCTGGCATGTGAAGTATGAACATTGCGGACAAAAAAATTAAACATTTCATACGGTAGAAAGATTGTTGATAAAAATTAATAGCAATGCAAAACGCTCATTTCAAAATACTATAGAACTATGAAATATGAATGAATACCGATCAATGTATGGAACAGAAAGTTTAGAACTTGAATTAATTACTAAATCCAAGTTTTGCAAGCGCATCCAGGTACCACGGTAACTCACAATTAGTAATTACGGATTCTATGTTAAACTGAACGCTAATAGTAAAAGGTATGATTCGTCGAATGAAGATGCTGAAACTGATTTACAGATACTTCCTAGTGCCTCCACAAATTCGAAATCAAATCAAGCATGTGTCTACTCTCAGAAGCATAATCCGCCTTATCTGCCTTCACTACTGTAATCTTCACCCTCTGTTCATCACCATACAATTCCTCTTTAATTTTTAGCCTCAAGACAAATTGGTTGAAGAGTCTACTCTTGATTATTCCTCCAAACTTCTCATCATCCTGCTGCTCGTACTTCAACATGTACAGCTCCTTAGCCGAGTAACCCAAAATATCTTCCCCTGATTCCTGAAAAGCAGTTACCCAAGCTATTCCTGTAGGATCCAGAATTTGAGCTTGAAGGAGATATCGGTAGTCACACTCCTCAAATTCTTGGTTACATCTATCACATTGCCATCTTGTGTTGTCTGACCTAGTCACTTTCTTGTTGCACTGCCGATCTCCAATCAAAAGAGGGCAAGCTGGGTAACAAAACGTATCTGTCTTGATGAAAGAAATTCTTGCCCTCACCGTTATCCAATCTGGCTTATCTGACCGCCCCAGACCTTCATTCTTGATCTGAGACACAGTTTTACGTACATCGTTCTTGGGTACTCCAGGTATAATGTCCTTAGAAATGGACACAGAAGCAGAATCTTTTCCCCCTCGATCAAACCAGTCCCTTAAGCTACGTGCCTCAGAGAAATCTGGATTTATGAAAAGCTGTGTAGAAGAAATAGTCCCAATAGATTTCCCAGTGAAGTCATTGACCTTCCCAGCTTTGATTGCCAGAATGGGGAAAAACCCAGCATTGACCATCTCTTGCAACTTTTGGCCTTCCCTGTTGCAAAATTCACCCCAAAGAGTTAGCTCAACACTCCTGCCAGAGCAGTCCTTTATATTTAAATTTCTTCTACGGGTTTCCATCCCATTTTTCCTCAAAATGGGAACTGATGGATTGACAAATGTCACAACGCCAATAACATCAAGTATAGAGTTATTGTCAACATTCGCAATATCACTGATATGCCTAAAGGAGAATTGCTGTCTTGGTATAGAACCATCTTCATCTGGACAAAGTTCAACAGTAGATGCCAAATCCAAAAGAATTTCCCATTCATTCTTCAAATGGTTGAAGTTTTTCTGCGCAGGTTTCAAGCTGCCTTTGGATATCAAGTAAACTCTACCTATCTCAATTGCATCATAGAAGCGATCCACAACTGCATTAAAACAGGTTACCCGTATTTCACCTCCATCAGAATCAAGGAGATCAAATGAGAAAACCTTCCCATCTCCCCGAGCATTATTATAGCGGCGCAGACCTCCTTTTGCAGTTACCCTTGCCTTGATGGCCCATCGACCTTGATAAGGATTTAAAGCAGCTATTGGAATAATATGTGCTGGGGCCTCATTTTTCACAATCGCACCATGGCTTTTGTAAACTGGCAGTGGCGGCAGTTGGTATGAAGGTTTAACAGTTGGCCGGAAATTCTGCATATTACAATTTGTATTTTGAGCTGGAAGATGAACATTATTACTCTTGAATGAGTTCTCCAAATTGTTATTAGGTAATGCTCCCTGAGTTGGTAAATCAGATTCCACAAACGTCTTTGGATTTCCAATGATCTCGCAATCCGGTATTATAGTTTCCATGTTGAGCACCACAACAATCCTGTACAAGGAGAACAAGGTCTAACTCCACACCAAGATCACCGTCACCATGACAAGCAGTTTAAGTACATAAATTAATTTTATACGAAAAAGGCTAGTTTCCTTCTGCAACATGTTTTTAACTCTCACTTTCACAACCAATGTTAGGGTTTTTCCAATCTATAGCGACCTGTCTCTGAGGATGTTCTCCGCAATTAAACTAATCACTACGAAACAAATCAGAAAAGAAGCTAAAGCGCTGTCGATAAACTGCTTATCGTTTTGTCACATTGTTTTTTTTTTTTTTTTTCAATTATAGTGTCTTTTAGGCCAAGTGCATAATACTCTTTGTGAGTTATCAACTTATCATGCATTACAAGTGCATAACACGTCTTCACCGTGATTAACTTCACCATCAAGATTCGACTCTTTCCAGAACCTAAATGTACTTGGAACCGAAGAGTACCTTATTAGCAACTGAATTTTATCCGGATTGAATTAATTTGATTATTGTTCCAAATGGAGATTAATTCTCAAGCATGGTGCGATGTATATAATCCTAATTATAATTGCAATAATCAAATGCGAAAATAGGTGTAAGGAGGAGAGACTGACTTGCGATTCTGAATAGGACTGCAAATGTAGTCGATGAGTTGAACGACGGAACCTTTCTTGACTCGTCCGGTTTGGACTCGGTCGTTGAGCTGAGTTGCGAGCATGGCGTGCTGAGAGGAAACGGCGTCGGAGAGCAAAATCCGGTACCTCTCTTGCTGCTTGCTATTCGGAATCAACTTGATATCAAGAACCTGCACCAGAGGCTTCGAGTTCATATCGCCGGACACTATCGCCGGGATCGCATTCGGCGTCAGATTCACCGACATGCTCTTATTTCGGAATCAAACCACAGAGATTTTGGAGGGATGGAAGGCTCTATGCGATCGATGGGGATTTTCAAACTCAAATGAAATGCAACCGCGCGCATAACGAACCGTCCCGGCTCTTATATATATATGGCCAACCACATTTTGGGCAGGACCGGGCTCAAATGACATTTTCTTAAATAATAATAATAAAAGGGAATTATTTTTTCTTCTCATAAAATTAAAATTTTCATTTACCAAAAAAATAAACAGATGGAAAGAAATGAGAAATATTACGGTTAAGAACAGAGATTTTGAGAATTTCCAAACTGGAATTATAACCGATACTTAAAATCTATAATAAGGATTATATTAAAAAAAATTATGTGTAAACATTATAAATTATAAAATTATTAAAATCTATTTTGTTAGTTTAGTAACAATTATAACTAGTATTCTGATCGTCAACCAATTGATTAATTCTTTAGTCTAAGTCTCTTTGCGCCCTATTACTTGAGGCACCTTAACTTTCGACCGACCAATTCTTTATGTCTTAGAGCATCTGCAGTGGAGGTTGCTTATAAGTAACTTCTTGTGTCATATCATGTCACATCAACTCTTTTCTATTTTATGAGTTGCTTAAATTTTAGCAAAGTTACTTGTAGAAGCTCCAGTACTAAAATTTAAGTAATCTATAAAATGAAAAAGAGTTAATATGACATGATGTATAAGAGAGAATTGCTTATAAGCAACTCTCACTAAAAATGCTCTTACATACATTTTAGTCCATTTGATCTGTAGATGATCACGTTAAGCTACAACTCAAGGAAAGAACAATGTAATGTCATGATTTGTAAGATCACATATAATAGGGATTTGCAAGATTATCTATTGGAAAACGGCCACACAATTAAACATGAATATGTAAAGAAATTTCTAGATTTAGGAATAGCATGTGGTCTTTCATACAGGAACATAAACATGTAAATACTTTTTTAAAAAGCTGTGTTAACTAATATTTTGACGTAATTTCAAATAATTTAATGCAAATTCAATCACGCGCGCAGTAACGCGCTGATCGAGGATTAAATTTTCAAAACCTCTTCAACTAATATTCAATTGTCTTAATGTAATAAGAGCAATTTATATATCAGGATCTATTTGATTATTTACCAACTAATCTCACATGTGACTCTAACTAAATATACATGACTCCAATAACTGATAAAATAATGATAGCTAAATATATATAATTCATAATCAACTTAGAATCACAATAGAACGAAAATAGAGGAACAACCACACCCACACCGCAACCTATCTATATAAAGTGAAAAGTAAATAATTATGAATCTATGTTAAATATCTTTGATTAATTGTAATATTTCACACAAGATTATATTCCTAGCCATTCCATTGATTGGTTCAAATAAATGAAGATAATTAATATTAAAATAATTGGGGAGTTGGACATATGTTTCAATTGGACCTACAGTTTTGGGCCAGATGGTGATTTTATCTTTTATTTAGGAACTTGGGAGTTTGTAATGCATGTATACTGACTTGAATGTATTGGTAGGCCGTGCGTCATTATCAATGGGCACGAAGCTCTTAAAAGTAATTAAACTGTCCAAAACCATTTATTGATATTGATGAAGCTACTCGATTGAAGTAGCATAGGAGTTTGAACTGTTATTTATCGTTATAATTAAATATCTCACCCACAACCCACCGAATAGAATAGGAGTTGTGGCTGTTAATTCTCGTTATAACTAGATATCACCCACCAGAGAATTATTAATTTACTAGTCTTTCCGAATTACAGAAACTAGTAGTACCAAGTTAACTTGGTACAGATTTAAACTAGCAGTAATTAATGGTTTAGTTTTTGAAGATTTAAGCCGGCACTCACATGCAATTAAACATAAAAAGGGATAGTGATGTACTGTACTTTTCTTAAGGGAAAACAAAATTACGGATAAATTTCGTTACCTGTTGGCAGGTGAAACTTCAATGAGACATGATCTTTGTACCAAACAATCCAATATAGAATCACTGAAACGCAACTTTGCAACGTTTACGGGTCACCTAACAGAAGTGATGTCAACATTGTAAAGTTGATTTTCTTAAAGTATGCAATTTTCAAAAGTGTGAATGAGTGTCTTTCTGAAGCCACGACCCAGTGGAGTTTAGTTTTATAAAAGGCATGAGAGAGAGGGAATAAAAGGATGATCACATATTAAAAATTATCGTCAAATTATTAAAAAGTGTCATTAGGCCATAATTAAACATTTCCGGCATGGGGCGTGGATTATTATAGTTGGATTGCTGTAATTGGGTCCAACCAATGATGGAGATATCTACAAGTTCCATTATTATAAAAAATTAGCTTTCATTGGGCAAACTAGAGTTGAGCTCCTTTCCAACCTATTTGCTGGAAATGCAAGGAACAAAGGGAAATAAAAGCAAAAGTAGATTCCCATCGCACATGTTCTGTACTACACAATGTCTAATTTGTCTTGGCTTGCTTAGGGACCAAATCCATTTTTATATGAGATATTCTAGTCCTTGATTACATCCTCAAACATGGCACACATTATTTCACACTGCTAACTACAATTACTATGGATTTTTTTTCTTCTGTTGGATTAATCCGGTTGGTAATGCTTAACAAATTTGAATAACCCAATATATTATTATAGTAATCTCTCTCATTTGATCATGAATCAGCATTTTATCTTGAGTAATGTTATTTCCACAAAATTTCTCACAAGAGTTTTTTCAACAAGGAGAGAGCCAGAAAGATAAGAAAGAGAAATATGAAATAAAGTGAATGTGGTAAAGAGATAGAAAGAACCGTAAAAAAAATGTTGTGGAAAAACGTTATTCTGCCATAAGTATAGTGTAAAAAGCCATTAGTTCATAAATTTACAATTAGCCAAGAGAATTCCACTTTTCCATGTACCTCTATAACAAAGTATCTATTGCAGACATATTTTCTACTAGTGTGTTTGAAACAACTTCGGTAAGAAAAAAATAAATTAACTCTCCAAGTTGAAGCTAAAACAATAAATAATTATTTCCACTTTTTCGCAAGATCACCATGATTTTGAGGTAAAATCAATATTCCCTAATATCCAAGCTGTTTCTAATTGTACAGAACAGTTAAGCTTAAAAAGTGACTTTGTATTACAATCTTGAGAGTAACTACGGCAGCATCTTGTACATCAAAGTTTTATAACTCTATTTCATATAATAAAAAAAAAACTTTATACATGACGGTCCGAAAAAGCCCTGAGGTCATGGATAAATGATAGTCTAACAATTACCACCCAAAAAAAAATGGTCTAAGAAATATAGCTAGGTCTGAATGAGTTAATTATGAATAGAGAGTATTGACAAAGGTATCAATCTACCGAGGAGGAAAAGGTCCACTTCTTCAAAATGCAAAATCTAAATCAGAAACAGGCCATCGTCAGCAATCACTCATGTGGGCCTCTCTTATAAGATCAGGAAATTAGGCAGCCACAAACTGGGTCCACCAATAAAGACATCTGCGCAATCAGGGAGAGTGAGAGAGAAATACAAGTCAGGGAATTATCAAAGTATCAATTAGAAGCATGTCATATAGGACATCTATAAGAGAATAAAAAGTAGGAGGGGGGGGGGGAGGAATTGGAAAGTAAAAAAGAAGTAGGAGGGGATAAACATGGAGAAGTTCAGTTCCACCCCAAAAGAGAACCTTTGGGTCCCTTGTCATGTTGTTGGGGGTCACTATTTACGCATATCTGCTTCTCAGGACTGTAGTGCTTTGTTTTGAGCTGATAATATAGAATACTTTTAATTTCCTGGCCAATACTAGCCATAGGGCATAAGAAAATAAAATATATAAAAAATTAGTCAAAAGCTCCTCATCGCTTATCTGAGATTCTGTTCTTGTGGTGGTGTGTGATAGGGAACCAAAAAGATTTTTATCTTATATTCTAAAGCTTCTTTCTTCCATCTGTTACAGAGCATCTTCACACATATGTGTGCAGGTTTCAGTTCTCTCAGTTGTCACTCCCACAGGGAAACACATGAACAGAAAAAACCAGGAGTAGTTTTCTTGGTAAGGAACCTCTGGCTACATGCGCATAGGCCAAAAACAGTGGCTGCAACCCCTTCTCACTTTCAGTTCTTAAGTAAAGTAAGATCTGGGAACATCATTTTGGTTCAAGATATAGAGGGAATAAAGCTATCATGACGAGTTTCCATCAAAACTAGATAAGAGATAGTCCTCATAAAAAAAATTATTTAGACCCTTTGGCCTTTAGCCCCTTTTGACAAACATAAACTCAAGAAAAGTTTATCAAAGCTAAAAGCCCTTATCTCTTGCAAGACCTAATCATATCATAGAAAAAACAGATAAACAAGAAAAAGTCCATCTCATTATAATCTATCACATGTTCAAATCCAAAGGAAAAAAGCAATCACGTTGAATAGAAAAGAAAAAGGGGTTCTCATTTACCTTTTGAAAGACAGCAGTGCAGCATGATTATATTTAGTCACACAAACATGTTACATTTCTATTAGATTCACAGTCACAAGCCTATAATAGTGGAAAAACATTTCTTTTTATTTGAAATGTAAGCAGTAAGTGATGAGCCAGAGAAAGTTCTGTAATACAAGAGGGCTTTGGCTACAGAACCTAATCTTGTTCTACCCCTCAACACAATTGTTATGTCGTGCATCTCCACCAAGCAAAAAGATAAGAAAAAATAAATAAAAATAAAAAGCTTCCTAAAGAGGCCTGTGTCGCTTGTGGCCAGCTTTGCCATCAGATTTCACAGCACCACTAGAATCCCCTTCTGAAGAAACTTCCATGGATTTGGTAAAAGAACTTGAAAGATCCGCATATAGGTCAACCACTCTTCTGATGTTGTTGTTGAGCTCCCTAATGAGTCCAACGTTTCTGCTGAGGTTGTCAGGAACCTTGGACTCATGATTCTGGTTTATCTCATTGATGAGTACCCGGTTCTGATCCAAGATGTTTTGGACTTGAACAAAGCTTTTCTGAAATGTCTGCAAGATCTTGCTATCAATCTGGGTACCGTTGCCCAGGCCAGAGAATGTGTCACCCTCCATTTTTATTTTTATTTCTTTTGGAGTCAAAA